AAAAAAAAAAAAAAAAAAAAGCTCCTCACAGAGAAAGCTCCATGAGGTCAGGGACCCCATCTCATTCCATGTCTAGCCCAGCGCCTGGCCCATGTGGGCCTCAGCAACTGAGGAGGAAGCTGTGATGACAGGCCCAGGGAGACTGAGGCAGGAGAATCGCTTGAAGCCGGGAGGCGGAGGTTGCCGTGACCTGAGATCGCGCCGTTGCACTCCAGCCTGGGCAACAGAGGGAGACTGTCTCAAAAAATAAAATTAATTAATTTAAAAGGCCAGGCACAGTGGATCACACCTGGAATCCCATAACCTTGGGAGGCCGAGGCTGGCGGTTCATCTGAGATTGGGAGTTCGAGACCACCCTGACCAACATGGAGAAACCCCGTCTCTACTTAAAAAAAAAAAATTAGCCAGGTGTGGTGGCGCATGCCTGTAATCCCAGCTACTGGGGATGCTGAGGCAGGGGAATTGTTTGAGCCTGAGAGGCAGAGGTGGTGGTGAGCTGAGATCACACAATTGCACTGCAGCCTGGGCAACAAGAGTGAAAGTTTGTCTCAAAACAAAACAAAACAAAACAAAAATTTGATGGAAGGAAACAAAGAATTAGAAGTAACCTAAAGTGCAAAACTACATCAGGTCTTTCCCAGCCAATAAATTCACTGACTTTCTTAAAATCAACTGCATAGTTTTGAATTGTCTCTTTGGTAAGGAGGACAGTCCAGGTACCAGGGTGAACAAAGGAAGAGAAGCAACGTGGAAGAAGGAGCAATGGCCAAGGGGGACACATTAGGCGTGTGCCCTCATCCAAGGACCTTCTCTGATAATTCCAGGGCAGAGTCCATGTGGAAGTCCTGCTGTGATTCTCCAGGGGCTTCCCAACTCTCGGAAGGGCTTCTCTGTTCCAGGGGTGTGTGTGAAAGCCCTGCACTGAGCGACCCCACCTTTCATCCAGACCCAGAGACCTCGGCTGCTGCAACCCTGTTGCCAGCTTACCCTCACTGGGCCTTGCTCTAAAGGCGAGGTCTTGGGGCCTCTTCCCCACAGGGCTTACAGACCTTTCAGCCTCTCTTTCCCCGGACCCAAAGAGCTTGAGAGCACACCTGAGCAGGTTGTCACAGATCACATCTTCTGCCTTGTACGCCTGACAACTGCGACGTCAACCCCAACGACAGCTAACACGTGGATGCCTCTTGGCACTTAATACTTTGAGTTTACTTGTTTGGTATTGACTGTCCCTGCTAGTAGAAAGAAAGCTCCGTGAGGTCAGGGACCCCATCTCATTCCATGTCTAGCCCAGCGCCTGGCCCATGTGGGCCTCAGCAACTGAGGAGGTTGCTGTGAGGACAGGCCCAGGGAGATCCTTCCAGGGACAGGCTCGGTGTCCCACTTGCTGCGGATGTGGTAAGCGGTCTTCAGCCATTGGCTGCAGCTTGCCAGGGTCACACCCTTTCCTGGGACAGCCAACATTGCAAAGTCTCAGCCATCTTGGTTCAACCTAGGACAGCCCTGAGCGCCACTTCTGTTGCAGAGCTCCCTGTCCTTGGTGGCATCACAATCCTCTCCTGCAACTGTGTCTTCCCCCACAGGTCCAACACCACTCCACAATACGTCTGCTACCCACAACAGCCTTGTCAGATGACTTCTAATATCATCTCCGTTTTACAGATGAGGAAACTGAGGAATAGGGAAGCCGAGTGGCTCACCTAACACATCAGCCAGGACATGCTGGAGGAGGCCTCATATGTGGCCATCTGTCTCCAAAGCCCTTGACCTACAGCAAGTACAAAGCCAAAACCAGGGGACGTGGCTGGAAGGCAGAAGGCCCAAAGAGAGGCTGCCATGCAGGATGAGGCTGGCACTGTCTCAAAAAAAAAAAAAAGGAAGAAAGAAACAATTTTATATACAGTGTGTAAAGAAAGCATACTTTTTCTTCTTTTTTTATTTGAGATGGAGTCACACTGTTACGTAGGTTGGAGTACAGTGGCAGCCTCAGCTCACTGCAACCTCCACCTCCCAGGTTCAAATGACTCTCCTGCCTCAGTCTCCCAAGTACCTGGGACTACCAGGCACCTGCCACCACACTCAGCTAATTTTCTATATTTTTGGTAGAGACGGGGTTTCACCATGTTGCCCAGTCTGGTCTTGAACTTCTGACCTCCTGATCCACCCACCTCGGCCTCCCGAAGTGCTGGGATTGCAGGCGTGAGCCACCACACCTAGCCATTTTTTTTCTTTTACCTAAGAGAGAACTTTGTGTGGTCAACATGGTAAGAGGGGAAGGAAAACAAGTTTTTGTCCTAATATAGAATGCCAATATAAAAAGGAAGCATAGACCAAAACTGAAGGTGTAGTGAGTTGTGCAAGGTTTGTGGAAGATAAATCTCATGAAAAGAATTTTCTGGCTGGGCTCAGTTGCTCACACCTGTAATCCCAGCACCTTGGGAGGCCCCGGTGGGAGGACTGCTTGAGCTCAGGACTTCAAGGTGAGCCTGGGCAAAATAGCAAGTCCTCATCTCTACTAAAAATCAAAAGAATTAGCCAGGTATGGTGGCACATGCCTGTGGTCCTAGCTACTCAGAAAGCTGAGGCAGTAGGATTGCTTGAGCTCAAGATTTCAAGGCTGCAGTGAGCCACGTTCATGCCACTGCACTCCAGCCTAGGCAACAGAGTGAGACCTCATCTCAAAAAAAGAGAAAAACATTGTGTGGGAACAAGTTGGCTAAAATTAGAAGGGGATTGTTTGAGCATTAATATAAAAATCACACAGATGCAGAGCCAGAATGTGGGCCCCTGTGTTGGAATAACAGAGTTTTCTGGAGCAATGATCTGCTCTTCAATAGAAAGTTGTAAATGATTGGCCAGGCGACGTGGCTCATGCCTGTAATCCCAGCACTTTGGAAGGCCAAGGCGGGTGGAACACAAGGTCAGGAGATTGAGACCATCCTGGTCAACATGGTGAAATCCATCCCTACTAAAATACACACACAAAAAATTAGCCGGACGTGATGGTGCACGCCTGTAGTCCCAGCTACTTGGGAGGCTGAGGCAGGCGAATTGCTGGAACCTGGGAGGTGGGGGTTACAGTGAGCTGAGATCGTGCCATTGCACTCCAGCCTGGCAACAGAGCGAGACTCGATCTCAAAAAATAAAAAAGTTGTAAAAGGTTATACAAAGTTTCATGAAATCTTATCTTCTGTGGTAAAAAATTGAGATTGGATAGATAGGTTTATAAAGTTGTATTAAAATTAACCTTAGGGGCCAGGCACAGTAGCTCACGCCTGTAATCCCAGCACTTTGGGATGCTGAGGTGGGCACATCACCTGAGATCAGGAGTTCAAGACCAACCTGACCAACAAGGTGAAACACTGTCTCTACTAAAAATACAAAAATTAGCCAGGCATTGAGGTGGGCATGTGTAATCCCAGGTACTCAGGAGGCTGAGGCAGGAAAATCACTTGAACCCAGGAGGTGGAAGTTGCAGTGAGCCGAGATTGTGCCACTGCATTCCAGCTTGGGCGACAGAGTAAGACTCTGTCTTAAAAAAAAAAAAAAAAAAATTAACTTTAGTGGTAGTATACTGATG